CTTGTTGTTTTGACCGAGGAGGAAATCGATTGTTATTTTGACCAAGGAAGAAATAGTTGACAAGGAAAAAAAGACGAAGGAAACATCTGGAAAGAAGAAAATAACAGAAAAACAGAACAGAGAGACCGTGTTTTCATGAAGACTAGATAATTTTATTTCTCATACAAGGATATTTAAATAACAATCTCATTCTAAAAATGTAAAGAAGTGGTGACTCAATTAAAGTCATTCCTACTCGGCTGAATCCCAATAACTTTTAACTTGTTAACTAAAAAATAGGAATGATTTTCAACCTAGGCATTTATCTAACATTTCATGATTATTTTGCTTGATTTAGATGTCGAGGCTGAGGGTTCGAAGTCGTAGGTTTTCTCGTCGGATTTTCTTCGATTTTCTCTCTCTCGAATTTTTTTTTGTTTCTTTGTTGCAGGTGGTCTGAGGTTGGATGGCAGGAGGGAGCAGGTGGGAGACGTTCGGCTGGTGATCCTCGAGGTGCAGAGTCGTGTGAAGTCCAAAAATTCTGGTGGTTGCTGGAATTTTCGTGACTTCACCGACAACCTCGACATATATATATATATATATATTATATATATTTTTATTAAAATAGTGATAGTTACATTTAGTGTTTTATGGTTTCAAGTATTTTAGGTTTTCACAATGGATTTTGGGCTAAGGGTTCATTTTCTTTTTCTTTTTTTTACAATTCTACTCCAAATTAAATATTTCTCTCTTTTTATCCTAAATGTGATTACTCGAAGGAGAAAGAAAAAAAAAAAAAAAACTTCTCACAATATAATTGTTTTTCACACGGTTGTGTTACTGATGATCTTTTAATACTCCCCTAGTACTAGTCTCCATTCGTCGTACCGTGTTGAGTTGATAGGAAAAGTCCTTGTATTTGTGAGTATTCAGCCTTTTTTTTTTTTTTATAAATAAGTTTGTCACTTGGTCATTTGTCTTGATCTGCCACATCTCAATTTCTTCATTCATAACTTTCTATCTAATAAGATAGCAGTGCACCTCCGTATGCTTTGTTGTAGCATGAAACATCGATTTTTTTGCTAAGTGAACCACAAATTGGTTCTCAGTGAAGGGATATTGGATAGTTAATTTTCTAGTGCAAATCCTCCGTTAAGAGTTTCAGTCATGTACTTTCTTGAGTTGCTCCAGTCGTTGCTCTGTACTCCTCTTTTATAGTTGACAATGATATTGTTGGTTGTCTTTTGTTACACCAAGAAATTATTCCCGAACCAAATTTAAACACATGTCCAATGGTTGATCTTCAAGTATCATGTTCTCATAGTATCCAACTAGCTTATGGTTTTCATTTATTTTGTATAAAAAACCATAATCAATTTCACCTTTGACATATCTTAAGATCCGTCGAGCTACATCTAAATGAGACTTATTTGAACTTTGCATGTACTGACTCATGACACCAACTACATAAGAAATGTCAGGTTGAGTTAAAATTAGATAGATAAGACTACCTATTAGTTTTCGTTATATTGTTTCATCGTTCAACTCTTTGCCTCCATGTGCACAGATCTTGACATTTTACTCCATCGATTTGGAAGCTCTCCTAACTCTTTCATTTGAAAGCGCACCGATAAGTTTTCTCTTATTTGATGAATTTCTCTTTTTGTTGTTCTGGTTAACGATGTATTCTTATTTTAATTCTAAATAAGCCAATTTTATATCTTAATATTGTCCTTATAATTGAAAATTCAAAAATTGATGTTTTATTATGAAGAAATTTCTATATTCAATCTGATTTTATTTCTTGTGGTGTTTCTAAATGAAAAATTAGAAAGTTTATGTTATGAAATTATTGTTTTATTAACTTCCAAGTATTAATGTCGTGAATGAACCAATGATTTAAGAGAGAAATGAGCATTTTTATCCCACTCCACAAAACTCCAAACTACTTGGAGGCATTGAGATACTCATACACTTCTCTTTTTATACCATCTTTTTCGTATGTGACAACAAAGTCCATCATAACGTGTGTGGTCAATAGTACTTGCTTTTTTGCTCTCGTTTTCCAACTATGTGTGTGAGATAGGTACGTGGACTATTTTCAAACTTGTTGCCAAAATCTAAAGGGGTATACATCTTTGGACTTTTTCTTTCGGACTTCCCTTCAAGGCTTTAAAACGCGTCTGCTAGGGGAACGTTTCCACACCCTTATAAAAGGTATTTTGTTCTCCTCCCCAATCAACGTGGGACATCACACTATGTATATCAAAATTATCTAGTTTCATAAATATGCTTACTCGAGGAAGTTTAGGGGTACGATAGTCATTTGTAGACCAACTTAATCACTATTTGTTATTTTGTAGGAATGTGCAAACAATAGAGGATTGCAACCGCATAATTTGTAAGGCTAAAACCTTTGCCACCACATAGACATCTTTGCTTTGACTCCTAATGGGCCCTTGGTACCGGACTGGATTCATAGAATTAGTCCAAGGCCTGGTCAAACGAGAAATTTAATATGAATTGAATACTATTCATAGTGATACATGAGGTGATTATGTGGTCATGATGTTTCACCAAAGTCTTAAAGGATAGTGTTTTCTATCCTATCATTTACACTCTTTAATATTTATTTAGTTAATGCAACACCAAGATTATTAGGTTATGGAATGGAGCCTGCTGCATATTTATAGCTTAATTAATGGTTATACATACTAAAACTATATAAGATAAATGACATATAAAGTAAATTGTCTAGTAAAAAGTTATTTTTGATAAAATTATATATGGTAGATAGCAGTGGATTATACCTGATAAATATATACAGTAACTTACACCATATATATCCCAAGTTTTGAAAATGTCTGTATCCTCTGTATTATCTCTTACGGTAGATACGTGAAGTCATCCATACAAATCTTTTAGCCAATATTCTCCTTGCATTTTCTCTATCCTGTTATTTGTGTTCATCTAGATCGAGTAGGTGCGTTGTTGTGCGATCCTAACAATACTTTTGTAACCCTTTTTGAAAATCGTTTATTCCCCCACAAAAATAAGGTCTAGCTACTAAGTGTGGAAATTTCTTTTAAACAATTTACTAAAACGTTATCATGGACTTAAATGTTCATAAAAGTTCATTTAAATTATCAAAATAACAATAAACTATTAGAAAAGGAAACATCCTGATCCTAACCTAAGGGCTACAACATTAACTGCAAACGCAATTACACTGACTTTATTTCCATGGCCTCCACAACGATGTCGTTAACCATACATGAGTGTCTTATCTTTACCTGAAAAAAGAAATACAAACGTTGATTGAGTATTTAAAAATGTTCAGTAAGTAGTCCCGCTGTTGGGGTTGAGAAATGCAATTGTATGCAATCATGGTGGAACCTATATTTTCATAAAACTTTCCCTTGGGCTATACTTTCCAATTCGGACAGAGTTAGATGTGTAGTATTTCTCTACACGCAACCCGTGCGTGCTCACGTGGGCCCACCAGGCAAACTTCTATGCATACCTCTCAGGCTTGACTATGGGCTAATGCACGCTCATGCTGCTGGAAGCCATGAAGGGAAAGGAGCACATATAATATTATAGTGTATGTGTTCATACTAATCATAACAGAGAAGTATCTCGATGCACGTGACATACAAAATGCATGAGTTCCCAAGTTTGAAATCATGGGTATATACTAATGATGCAACTCATACCTCTATTCTTTTCATTATATAACGTTTCATGTGTATACTTAACATATAGTGCACGTGGTGTGACATATGAAAATAGATGCATCATATATCATTCATATCATAATGTAATTTCATAACATTACATAACACATAAAAATATGACATGCATAGGGATCATAGGGTACATGTTATTCATACCGCTCACAAAGCATCCAACTAAGCCCATGAGCATCCAACCCTAAAATTACTTATTGGGTTGACCTAAGTTGATGCCACTAAAATCTAACTCCACCTTAAATGCCTCCAAAAGCTAAGAAAATGGCTCAAGAATACCAAATGGAGTTGTTTAAAATAACTTCCTCGTCTCGAGGGGGTTTGTGACAAGGAAGAGAACCTCTTGAAACTTCAAGATTTTCCCACAAGTTTTGGTAGTCATAGATCCGATCTTAGACCCAAACTTTCTAGAGCTAATTTACTAGATCAAGAATGCAATAAGTTCCAACAAATAGATTGCTTACCGACTATGTTTATAATCACCAAATTCTACTTTTTTTAGGTGATCGTTGATTGTTTATGTAGTCACGGAAGATAACACTTTTCTCGGTTCTTCTTCGTCTTCGTTTTTAGGCAGATCACGGCAGCTGCGTGGGAGCTTCGGCGAGACGTCAAGTGACAGCATGAGGGTTGTTGAGCTGAAGAGGAGCCGAATCGTTTCCTATTTTTGGTATTTTCTTTTTATTTTGAATATATATATATATATATTCTCAAATTATCCTCCTTATTTTGGACATTTCCGATTAAAAATTGAATAGTTTGATTGAAAATTACAAAATTACATTTTTACCCTTCTTTCAACCCAAATTTCTTTGAAGTGTAGATTATAAAAGCAAGAGAACATAAATATATCATTTTTCGTACTTATATGAATCACACACATACACGAAGACTCACAAGTGGAAAACATCAAATTTAATTAATCATATATCATAGTAATCATTCTTTATCGAACACGTTTCATCATTTGTACGATGACCAGAAATATACTGGCATCTTTTTTATAAAAACATCTACATCAGTTACAGATAATCACATATGCATTTTTAAAATTCATGGCCAGCATAAATACAAGAATCATATCATGTTATCAAACAATTCATCCAACTAAGCCTATAACATTCCAACCATAAGATTAGTTATAGAATCTCAATCCCAATTAAATTATATTTTTGTATTAGGATAAATTTAATTAGATTTTTTAACACTCGTAATATATTTTACAAGTTTTAATTAATTAAAATTAAAAAATGATTAAATACCAATTTAAGCTAAATATTAATTTGGATGAAAATATTATTAATTATAATCACACATAATTATAGGGTTGAGTATAAATCAATACAGCCTTCTTTCTAAACTTCCCCATTTGTCCCTAATTGAACTTGATTTCCGACGTCGTTTCTCTCTATTTTCCTCTGTTTAGAAAATCTCCAAAGTAAATTACCGAAAAGTCCCTCCATGTCCTCGAGAGTCCTCCCTTGCGTCTCAGGAAACACAACGTAGAAAAACACCCAAGAAATCGCTGCAATCCCGGCGTACAGAAAAAACGCCCCACCAATCGTAATCGCGTTGGACAGGGACAAAAACGTCATTGTCACTACCCCACTTGTCATTCTGTTCACTATCACTCCTATACTCGCCCCTTGGGCGCGTAGCTTCAACGGGAAAATCTCCGAGCTGTAAACCCACGCGATGGGCCCCATTCCGATGGAGAAAAACGCCATGTCGGACAACACTGTGGCAATACACAGCCCAACTGCCCACGTGAGTCTCACGTGATCATGGTGTTGAATTATCGTGAGCCCCATTCCCAGCAGCAGGAGCGATATTATCTTCCCAGCGACGCTGCTGAGGAGCAACGGCCGCCGTCCTACACGGTCGAGGAGAAAAGTAGCGACTAAGATAAAGACGGTTTTGGTGAATCCAACGGCCACCGTCGCGAGTAGCTTTTCTCTGTCGGATTTGATTCCAGCCTTCTCGAAGATGGTGGGGCTGTAGAGAACGACGGAGTCCACGCCGGATGCTTGCTGGAAGAAGTGGAGTCCAACGGCGGCTATTATAATGTGGCGGACGGAGGGCGTCGGGTGGAGGAAGAGGTCTTTCCAAACGTCCTTGCCGTGGCTGCTCCGCTTTGGGACTTGGACGACGTCGTCGGTGCAGGTGATGGGTATCCCGGCGGCTTCCTTGATGTCGGCGAGTCTCTGTTGAGCCTCTTCAACGGAATCAGAGGTTTTGTCGAGGACTTTTTTGGCTTCTCCAACTTGGCCTTGCATTACTAGCCAACGTGGCGATTCCGGCATCATTAAAACGACTACGGCTAGAAATACCGAGGGGAATACGCCGATTCCGAGCATGAATCGCCATCCGAGATGAAGTGGAAGCTTTGCGAAAGCGAAATTCGAGATGTATCCCAAAAGTAATCCGAAATTTATGAACACCTGACCGTAATTAAGAAAATTAAGACTTAGGTGGTAATTTATGAAATTTGATTTAAGATATAAAATTAGCTATTTAATATATTTTATATAGTTGTAATCCGCTACCAACCTCGGGAAATGAGGTGAGGAAGCCGCGAGAGGAGGCGGGAGAGACTTCGGCAGTGTAGACGGGAGAGATCATGAGGGCGTAGCCGACGCCAAGGCCGGCGATGAAACGGCCGAACATGAGGAAGGCGTAGTTGGTGGCGAAGCCCATGAGAATGGCACCGAGGAAGAAGATGATACCGGCGAGGACCATGGTGTAGCGGCGGCCGATCCAGTCGGATGTTCTGCCGGCGGCGGCGGCGCCGATGAGGGAGTAGAGGTTGATGACGCCGGTCATAACTTCCTGCTGGACGTAGGAGATTCCAAAGTCTCGTTTGATAAAAATTGCAGCTCCACTCATTACACCAACGTCTGTTGAGAAAAACCCCAAATTAAAATCATGAAAAAAAGAAGAAAATTAAATAAAGTAAATTCTAACCGTAGCCGAGTAAAATGGAAGCCATGGAAGCCAAAATTGCACACATGAAAGCATATTTGTTTCTTTTGGGCTTCTTGGGAATTGCTGAAGAAGCTTCATCTATGTGGTATCCCATATTGAGAATTGAATAATGCTTTCGAGTTGGGAGCGTCTCTTATATAGACAACCAGAGTAGCATACCATAATTTCATAAAAAGATGTTCATTTAATTTGTAGGAATTAGATAAAAATAAATAAATAAATAACCAGGAGACCATGTAAAAAACCTTTTCGAAATATTTAATTTTTAAAATTTATATTAATATTAAAATCGAAATTTTTTGAGTTCAAGGTCATAATTATATTTTTGTTTAGCGAGTATTATTTTATTATTAAAATTTTGAAATTATATTAGACGGAGAAGGACAATGAAATCGGCGCCACACTTTATTGTATGGTCCAGGTTTTCAATCACCTTCTCTATACTTTTATCTTTTGACTAAAAGTGATATTAACTTTGATGCGTAAATGTAATATTTTTATTCGAAGTAAAAGAAAATATAATTTAAAGTTAAAACTATGCTTAAAAGGAAACTAATTATCTTTATTGAAAGATAACTACGACTTTTATAAAGCTTTACAAAACAGAATAACAAACAAACAGAATAAAATAAATAAATCAACTCCGACAAATGAGCTATTTGAAAGCAAATAGAAAGCTACCGTCTATTAATTAGCTATAACGTTGCAGACCAAGTCAGAAACTCCAACAAATTCCTCCCCGTAAATTGAAGTATATGGAATGAAACAACATTAGTTTACTCAAGTTTTTGAACTCCAAGCATGCCTCTAAATTTTACAAATTGATCTAGCTTAATTGGTTTAGTCATTATGTCTGCCACTTGATCTTCAGTTTCGCAAAACACTAACCTTACCGTCTCATTAATTGACAAATTACTCAAGTAACGATACCTGACATCAATATGTTTTGTCCTTCGATGCATAACTGGGTTCTTAGACAATTTGATTGCTGAACTACTGTCACACATGATATCTATGCACTCGCTGCTTAGAACACCTAGCTCCTTCAGAATTCCCTTAAGCCAAACACCATGACATGCACTTGCAGTGGCAGCTACATATTCAGCTTCTGTAGATGATAGTGTAACAATTTCCTGCTTCCTTGAACTCCAGCATATTGCTGCTCCATTTAGAAAGAAAACATAGCTTGAAGTGCTCTTCCAGTCATCAATATCTCACGCATAATGATTGTCTGTGTATCCCAAAAGATTTACATCCTTACTCCATTTGTAGTGAACTCTAACATCTAACCGTGTCTTTTAAATATCTCAGTGCCCTTTTAGAATTTAGCATATGTTCTTTGGATCAGCCATATAATGAGAAATCAAGCAAACCACAAACATTAAGTCGAGACGAGTTACCGTAAGGTACATTAAGCATCCTACTAGTTGTTTGTATAATGTTGCATCGACACTTTTGTTGCCTGACTTTGACAAGAAGGTGCCAGGGATTATCGGATTCGTTACAGCATTACAATTCGACATATTGAATTTTTCCAATACTTCCTTAGCATACTTCTTTTGGCACAAATGAATTCCTCCTTCGTTTTGATAAACTTTAACTCAAAGGAAGAATTTCATTTTCCCTAAGTTTGTCATCTCAAACTTCTGTTGACTTGATAACTTCAAACATTTGCACATATTCTCATCATCTCCTGTGTAAATCAAATCATCAACGTACAGGCAAACCAACAACAATTTTCTTCCAATTCTCTTCAAGATCATAATTACTTTTTTCATATCATTCCTTCTTCAAATAGCTCTCGATTTTGCTGAATCAAGCCCTCGGTGCTTGTTTCAGGCCGTAGAGAGCTTTCCTCAGTCGATAAACCTTGTTCTCTTCTCCCTTTTTGACAAAACCTTCAGGCTAATCAACATATACCTCCTCGTTTAATTCACCGTATAGAAAAGCACTTTTGACATCAAGTTGATAGATGCACCATCCACGTTGAGCTGCTACTGCCACCAGAATTCTGATTGTATTCCATCGAGCTACTGGTGCATAAACTTCATTGTAATCTACTCCTGCCTTCTGCGAGTATCCCTTAGCGACGAGTCTCGCTTTGCATTTGTCTACTTTGCCTTCTTCATTCAGTTTCGTCTTAAAGACCTACTTGACACCGATTTTCTTTGTTTGATACGGCAATGTCACAAGCTCCCATGCCTGATTTCTTTCAATAGCTTGAATTTCAAGCTTCATACCCTCCTGCTACTTCTTTTCCTTTATGCTTCTTCAAAGTTCACAAGATCATCATTGGAGATGTGAAAAGAAAACCCCTCCTCGACTTCTTCTTCTTCAAATAGGTGTTCACCTGTTTCATAATCGCGCATCCAAACGGGCTCTCTCCTTTGTCTTGTTTGTTGTGGCAACTCTGGGGAAGATTCATCCATTTCTTGGATTTCTTCTAACTGTTAGGCTTGGAGCCTGATACTTATTTATAGCTTGGTCAACGGTTATATCCGGTAAAGCTATATTTAGTACAGCTATATATAGTAAAGCTATATATGGTAAAGCTATATCCGGTAAAGCTATATATGGTAAATAGTTATATATAGTAGATGGCTAAATCTGGTAAAGCTATATATAGTAAACTATACCATATATATATCTGGGTCCGGTAGAGCTTTGAAGAGGTACTTTTCTATTCTCTGTACTCTCTCTTGTTGTACATACCTGAAGTCATCAATACAAAAAAAAAATCCTTTTAGCCAGAGTTCTCCTTGCAACTTTTCTCTATCCTTTTCTTTGTGTTTATCTAGATCGAGCGTGTGTGTTGTTGTGCGATCCTAACAACTGGTATCAGAGCTAACGACTGATATCGATCCTAACAACTGGTATCAGAGCCAAGCGGTGTCAGAGCCAGGCGGAAGTCAGAGCCAGGCGGAAGTCAGAGCAAGGCGGAAGTCAGAGCAAGGCGAAATTCACCACGATCTGTGAAGATGGAAAGTTCAAAGATTGGAATTGAGAAGTTCGATGGATCCGATTTCGGTTTCTGGAAAATGCAGATTGAAGATTATCTGTACCAGAAAGATCTTCACGAACCTCTGTTGGGGGTGAAGCCGGATACCATGACCACGGAACAGTGGAAGCTCAAGGATCGACAAGCCTTGGGGCTGATCCGGTTGACGCTATCCAAAAACGTGGCGTTCAACATTATCAGGGAGAAGACAACGTCAGGTCTGTTAAAGACGCTGTCGAATATGTACGAAAAATCGTTGGCTATGAACAAGGTGTATTTGATGCAGAGATTGTTATGAGTCCTTGTGAGAACTTCGTTACGAGCTAATAGAAACGAGTTAGCTTCACAAAGACTGTTAGAGAATTGAAGAAAAGTACCGGAGGGGGCTCCGTCGGCCGGAAGCATTGCTGAAACCCCGAAGGAGGGGGATACCTCGGCCAGAAGCGTTGCTGAAGCCCCAGAGGGGGTTGCGTCGTCCGGAAGCGTCGCTGAAGCTCCAGAGGGAGTTGCGTCGTCTGGAAGCGTCGTTGAAGCTCCAGAAGGGGTTGCGTCGTCCGGAAGCGTCGCTGAAGCTCCAGGAGCGGTTGCATCGGCCGGAAGTGTCGCTGAAACTCTAGGAGCGGTTGCGTCGTCCGGAAGCGTCGCTGAAGCTCCAGAGGGAGTTGCGTCGCTGGAAGCGTCGCTGAAGCTCCAGAGGGGGTTGCGTCGCCGGAAGCGTCGCTGAAGCTCTAAAGGGGATTGCGTCGCCCGGAAGCGTCGCTGAAGCTCCAGAGGGGGTTGCGTCGCCTGGAAGCGTCGCTGAAGCTCTAGAGGGGGTTGCGTCGCTGGAAGCGTCGCTGAAACTCCAGAGGGGGTTGCATCGCCCGGAAGCGTCCCTGAAGCTCCAGAGGGGATTGCGTCGCCCGGAAGCGTCGCTGAAACTCCAGAGGGGGTTGCGTCACCCGGAAGCGTCGCTGAAGCTCCAGAGGGGGTTGCATCGCCTGGAAGCTTTGCTGAAGCTCTAGAGGGGGTTGCGTCGCTGAAGCTCCAGAGGGGGTTGCATCGCCTGGAAGCTTTGCTGAAGCTCTAGAGGGGGTTGCGTCGCTGAAGCTCCAGAGGGGGTTGCGTCGCCTGGAAGCGTCGCTGAAGCTTCAGAGGGGGTTGCGTCGTCCGGAAGCGTCGCTGAAGCTCCAGAGGGGGTTGCGTCGCCCGGAAGCGTCCCTGAAGCTCCAGAGGGGATTGCGTCGCCCGGAAGCGTCGCTGAAACTCCAGAGGGGGTTGCGTCGCCCAGAAGCGTCGCTGAAGCTCCAAAGGGGGTTGCGTCGTCCGGAAGCATCGCTGAAGCTCTAGAGGGGGTTGCGTCGTCCGGAAGCGTCGCTGAAGCTCTAGAGGGGGTTGCGTCGCCGGAAGCGTCGCTGAAGCTTTAGAGGGGGTTGCGTCGGCCGGAAGCGTCGCTGAAACTCCAGAGGATGTTGCATGAGTTGGAAGACTCTTGCTGAAACACCAGAGGTGAAGCAAGTGAGAGTTGATGTTGAGTTGCTCAAAGATTCACAGAGTGATGTTGTAGCAGATACTCATGAAACTCCTGAGACTCTTGCTGAGAAACCATAGGTGAAGCAAGTGGGAGTTGATGTTGAGTTGCTCAAAGATTCACAGAGTGATGTTGTAGCGGATACTCAAGAAACTCCTGAGACCCTTGCTGAAACACCAAAGGTGAAGCAAGTGGGAGTTGATGTTGAGTTGCTCAAAGATTCACAGAGTGATGTTGTAGCGGATACTCAAGAAACTCCTGAGACCCTTGCTGAAACACCAGAGGTGAAGCAAGTGGGAGTTGATGTTGAGTTGCTCAAAGATTCACAGAGTGATGTTGTAGCGGATACTCATGAAACTCTTGAGACTCTTGCTGAGAAACCAGAGGTGAAGCAAGTGGGAGTTGAGGTTGAGTTGCTCAAAGATTCACAGAGTGAAGTTGTAGCGGACACTCAAGAAACTCCTGAGACTCTTGCTGAGAAACCAGAGGTGAAGCAAGTGGGAGTTGAGGTTGAGTTGCTGAAAGATTCACATAGTGATGTTGTAGCAGATACTCAAGAAACTTCTGAGACTCATGCTGTTGGCGAGGAACTCGGTCTATCATTTAAAACACAGAAGGCGATACCATTTCAC